TGTATACGTTGGAGCATTCCTATTTGTTGTTATGGCAACCTCTGCTGGTCCGGCGGGGCCAGGGTGCATGGATGGAGGGAGGGTGACAGTGGGTGGGGGTTGGGAGAAAGTGCTGCAAGTTTGGTGGGCCCTGCGTGCACGCGCGACTGGGAACGTGGCGGATCTCCCGGCTCTGCGCAGCCGGGGCTGGGGGCTGAGGGGCTGCGGGTGCCTTGCCAGGGGGAGAAAGCAGCTGGCCGTTGAGCGCAGCGATCAGGCGGTGGAAACCGCGCAGCTGAGCGCGTAGGTGGCGGTGCGCATTGGTTCTCCAGCCTCCTGGGGATAAAGGACATCGGGTGGGGGCGTGGGTAGGGAAGGGTCGCTAAGTGCTGCTTCTCATCCGGATCAACTTGGACCTTTTTCTTTGGCATTGACACCCTTCCAAGGGGCTTCTGTGGGTCAGGGAAGCGTCTTGTACTATATGCGCCCTGCACCCCCAACCTTAGTGTTCACACTACAGTTGAGCCGGCTGTGTCCGCGCCTGGACTCGGCGATTCCTTCGCATGGGGTCAGCTCCGGGACGGCTTAGCAAGCAGGGAAACAAAGGCTGTGTGGAATGGTTTGGGCTTTGGTGGAGCTGCGGGGCCCTAGGCGCTCTGGGGACCCCGGCGGTGGCTTGCGGAGCCCCAGCCGTCCTGCAGGGGGCGTTCCTGTCGCCGCCTTCGCCCGGGCACGGGGTGACAGCTTCTTGTGGCCAGGCAGGGGCACCTGTTGAAGCCGGAGACTCTGGGATCCGCAGAGAGCGCACTTCAACGCGTGCGTTCTGGTGCGTTCTTCCAACAGGGGCCAGTGGTGAACGAGAGTCTCTGACTACCCTCCCGACAGACTGATGGCCGCGGCAGCCTGGGGGAGCGAGGACCAGGAAGCAGAGTGGAGCCGGAGTAGGGGATTGGGGGAGGGTGCAATCCTGACGCGGAAAGATCTGGGCCTGGGAGAGGCGGGGTGAGCAGCTCCTCGGGGAGGTACAAGGTCAGGAGAGCTGAGCTTTGTTATCGACTAGCGTACTAGACTAGCGTACTTATCCAAAGGTGCCTCAGAACTCCAGGAACATGAAGCAATCGGTGGACCACTCTCATATTCCCATCCTGCCCCAGATTCCACTCTTGTTACCCACCTGGGAAGAAGTGAAAATCCTCAGCAAAGGAACCATTATTTCTGCAAAGGAACCTGACCTTTGCAGAAATAATGGGTTATGAACTTTATCCTAGATCCCAGTCTGGATGCATCTGTGGGGGCAAGCCTATTTAAGTGGAGGGTTTCCTTTTGAGCTCTGGATCCTTTCCCTAGGACACTCTTTCCAAAGCACTTGACAGTGTTTGGACTGAAAGCCTGGAGGAAAAGCCTCCTGTGTCAAGACCCCAGAGTGCTGAAGTCTAGGTTACAACTGGAACCAGCCAGACCAGTAGTGGCCCCAGACCCCAGGGAGCTCCCACACTGCCCTCATCCTAGCTGCCTTCATCTGGGAGAACTAGCCTGGTCTCAGGGAAGGCCAGCCTGGGGCCAGGAGGGGAGATGCAAGCTGGCCAGATGCTGGTGACTGATGGGAGGAGGCTCTGAGTTGGAAGGGGGAAAAGGCCAAGGGAAGGTATGGAGGGAGAGAGAGGGCACGGTTAAGTCACCCAGACCCTCTTCTGCAGAACCATGACCCTAACCTTGCTGGGGCATCTCTCTCCTGCTTCCTCCCACGTGTGTGCCCTGAAGTGGGGACACTGCTGGAGGAATACAACCCTTGTTTTGAGGGGTAGGAATTAGTGGTGGGGGGAATGTGCTGGCCAGCATCTTCTTGCCCCTCCTTATCACCACAGGTGTTAACTTGCTGCAGGTAAGTAAAGGGCTGAGATCTGGAAGCTAAGTTTAAAAGAGTAAAAGAGGATCAGGAAGACACCTGGGAGCCTGGAAGAGAAGGTATAGGAAGAAAGGGAGAGTAATAATATCAGGGGTCAAAGTGACTGAGCCTTCTCTGGCCACTTAAGCACACAGCCAGCTCCCTCTCCGTTCTTAAGCTTTATCTCTGGAAGTTTTTTCCGTCAGCATCAGTGCCAATCACACACTGCCCTTAACACTGCCTGGTCTTATATTCCTATCTTTGAGTTAATTCCCTTCTGAGTAGTTCTAAAGCGAGCGTAAATTCTGCATGCAGGGACTGTGTTGGAAGCTCCTGGCATCTCCACATTGGTGAACACAACAAGTCCTAATAAGAACTTCTTTTGCAAAGAAGTGCAATAGCGTTCTGGCCCTTTTCTGAGAGCAGTCAATGGTCGAAGCTTCAGATACCCTTGATATTTCTTTGCAAGTCCACCCTGACTGTAAGTAAGGAGGTAAGGAAATGCAAGATCATGCATCTTCAGGAGTGGAATCCTTTGTTCAACTTGAAAGGGGCAGGTGCAGCTGGGGAATTGTTCTCCCTGGAATTGTAGCCACTGACTGTCCTTGCCATTTCAGGCAGGTCAGAATGTTGCATGTGGATTTTCAGATTCTTAGAGAATGAGGTGGCCAGTCCTGATTTCAGAAGCAGAGCAAATTCAGACAAGCGTCATCATCACTCCCCTGGGGAATCAAAGAGCTGAGCCGGAGAAGGGAAGGGCTGTGTAACAGGCTGCCCAGGCGGCAGCTCTGCCTTCTTGCTGTCTGGATTGTTTGAAGCCAGCCAAGTTCCTTCTGGACTTTGGAGACACTTGTTTGGCATTGTGGGGTGTTGGCATGGCAACTGTATGGCCCGATTTCTCTGGGAGGTCCTGAGTTTTAATATTCGGTTTCTGCTGTCAGCCCCTGTATCACAAATTCTGAGGTGAAAATTTGGTTATAGGATTTGCAAAACTAAAGGGAGATCCTGATTCCATCATTTCTTTAGCTGCTAAGGATGGAGCAAGGTTTGCAACTTTTCTATGTTGTGTTTCATGGACAAGGCAGTATACTGGGGACACATCTCTTGAATCTACACTGATGTACACTGTCAAGAACACCACCTAATGCAGGAGGCAGAACAGACATGCTGGGATCTTGAGCTGCCCCGTGGGGGAGAACATTGTGATTGTTTTGGTTTTGGACACAGGTTTTCCATATGCCCATTCTCTAACAGGCAGGCATGGGAGGCCAAGGTGTTATATGGACTTTTAGTTTATTGGAAAATACTACCCATTATGGGTGTCTTCAGCAGAGGTATACTCATTTGCAACAACAACCATCCTCAAATGTCAAACCATGAGAGATTTGGGCAAGAGTTTTCCTAAACTGGAGTTTCTTATCCTGAAATTGAGATACTGCTCAGTGACCATGGACAAAATATCGACCATCACTGGATCTTGGTTAATCCGAGTGTTAAGTTTGGGTTGAATGATTGGCAGCCTTTGTTGATGCTTTGATAAACCAGTGATAGTTTCATTGTTGAAGTAAGGAAAGGGCTTTAAGGAAGTTCTCCTGCAGGATGCTATAAGGACTAGGCCATGGAGGGACACGCCCCTGTCAGGAGAAGTTTCCAGTCACCCTCAGGCTTTTCAGGGATCTCCACCTACCTAGTAGGAGGGGGACACCAATGATGGCTTTACTGACACTGTTCTCTGAAAGCAGAGGATTCAATAAGATCGGGATGAGTTTATATTTATAATGTGTGCATTTTGGTGTCACGGGAATATGATTTGCCTAAATGACAAGATGATATTTAATTTATCTAGATGCCACACTAAAGAAAGTGACTGGGGAGGGAGAAGCACAAACACCCACAATTCCCTTTGCCAAAAGGTTCTGATTTAAAGGGCCGGTTTCTGGTCAATAGGGTCTGTCCCTGGGCTGTTGTTTTTAAAACAGTATCTTTATTTTGTTTACTTATTTTTATGTGGTGCTGAGGATTGAACCAGTGCCTCACATGTGTGAAGCAAGCGCTCTGCCACCGAGCCACAACCCCAGCCCTTCCCTGGGCTATTTTTGAGATCTCCCTGTGGGACATGGGGACAGCTCAGAGACATCTATATCTGGAGGGGGTGTTGACAGCCCAAGAGCCCCTTCCCAGGAAACCAGAAGCCCCAGGGCACAGGATTGGTCTGAAGGTGCTTCTTCTCCTGACAGCCCCTTTATTTCTGTGCTATGACAGTAATACCCCCACCAGCTGCTCTGAGGGCCATGGGAGTGGCTTTGTTCTCTGGTGGCTGTGTTAGCTCAGAAAGCAGAGGAAACCCTTGGGTATAAAAATGCCAG